GCAATCATATTTAAAAACCCTAGAAGGAAAACCTTATAAAGAATGGTTGGAGACATACAGTATATTTGCCTGGAGAAGAGAAAACTACAGGAAGTCACAATAGCATTCTTCAAATACCTGAAGGGCTGTCAATGCAGAAGATGAGGTTTGTTCAAAACTGTTCAGAGAACAGGACAAGGAACAATGGGCTTAAATTACAAGGGTACAGATTTTGGACGGACATCAGGGGAAAAAAAAGGAATAGTATTTGTCATGAGATGGTGAACTCTTCTTCATTGGAGTCTGGATGGCCATCTATACTATAATAGTGGACTCCTGAGGTGAGTAAGGGATTGGATTTGATGATCTCAAAGGTCCATCACCACCCTTACTTATGTTTCTATCGCAGAAATACGTACAGGCAGTCCCCGGGTTACGACAGTGATTCAGAGAGGAATTTCCATCACTAAGTGATGCATTTGTAAAGTACAACATCACGTGACATCACTTAGCAATGGAAATCCCAGCAGTCCCCACTGCCATCATTAACCAAATCCCACCGGTCATTAGACAAGGACTCACTCCAGTTCTCGGCCTGGTCCCTCCCAGCCCCGAGCCTCAATAAGGCAAGGGACTGCCTCCTCTTGAACTCCCCCCACCTATCTCCCCCCACTTTTGGCCGCCCTGCACAGTGCACTCCTCGGCGGTGATGGCAGCACCTGCCTTCTCGCAATGCTTCTCATGATGCTTCTCACGATGTTTCTGAGGCCTTCTGAAGCATTGTGAGAAGGCAGCGCACAATTTGGAAAAGCATGCACATAATTCGGAGAGGCCGGGCGCAGCCTTCTCGCGAACTTTTGGAAGCCTCAGAAGCATCACGAGAAACAGAGCGAGAAGGCAGCATGCAATTTGGAGAAGGGCACGTGCAGCTTCGGGAAGATGGCCTGGTGGGGCCAGTAGCTGCCTTGCATAGGGTGAGGCCGGGTGCACCTCATCAACAGCAGGAGGAAGACGGCAAGGTCAGCTGGGGTGGCACAGCCGGAAGAATGCAGAGCGGCAGTGATGGCTGGAACTTTGCACTGTGGTGGCTGGCTACAGGGCTTAAGGCAGTACGCCTCAGCAGCAGTGACACAGCCATCAGCACTGGGGCTAAAGTAGAGGCCCGGGGGTGGCAGTGGCTAGCTGAGACTGCTGATGGTCCCAGGCCTTTACTTCAGCCTCAGCACCACTGGTGCTGTCACTGGCAACAAGGAGTGCCACTGTGCAGAGCAGCCAAAAGGGCAGAGATGGGGGGGGGAGATAGGCAGGTGGGGGCAGTTGAAGTGACTCTGTGGTCGTAAATGCAGGTGGGCTGCCAAGCACCCAAATTTTGAAAACATGACCACGAGGGCACTGCAACGGCCATAACATCGGGACCGGGCATAAGTACCATTTGTTCAACACCAAAGTAACTTCGAACAGTTGTTGAATGAATGGTCATTAAGCAAGGACTACTTGTACAGTCTAAAGGAAACCATGAAACAATATGTTCTACAAAAAACCAAGAGTAAGTCATGATAACATGAATAAGTATATTGCTGATAACTTAAATAATGACATTCTAGACAGGGTCTTTTATAAGAGCAATCTCTAGTATGACAAACCAGCTGAAAGAATTCACTGGCAGAAACAAATCTTGGTAGTATCCTACATGCTAACAGATTTATCAAACTGCTAATTAGTGATCAAGCAATAATAGACATCTTTTTAGTGCTTCTTCTACCACTTTAGAAATTCTCAGTGAAGGCACAATAACACTTGCTGATTTTTCTTCTTCCTATTGTAGTAAACAAGGCTAAAAGGCTGTGGTAGTATAAACCAAATCACACTATTTCTGTGAAGCAGTTTAAGAATAAGCCTATTATTTCACATCTACTAGAGAACTAGTAATCAAAAAGAAACACACTGTCTCATTATTTTTAACATATTTTTTCACTTCGTACTTTGATGTATCTTTGTAATATCATGTAGCATTAGAAACCAGATATTCTGCATATAACTCTAATATTTATATCATCTAAAAGTCCTCCAAACTTGCTGTCCCCCCAAAAATAATTAAAACTAAATAATTTATGAGATTATGACAAATAGAACCCTAAAAGTAACAATTTAAAACTTAATTTTACACATGGAGGATGGGAGAATTATATAGTACCACACCCTCTAGACCAGAAAGTTTGGTCCACAGCATCTTTTTTTTTTCCTGTGCCTTCAGGTCAGTTTTTGACTCCTGGCAACTGCCTGGACT